GTACTGGGGATTGAACTCTGGGGCATTTGGCCCCTGAGCAACATCCCCAACCCTATTCCGTATTTTATTTAGAGGCAGAGTCTCATTGTGTTACTTAGAACTTTGCTTTAGCAGAGGCTGCTTTGGACTTGCTATCTGCCTGCATCAGCCTCCTTAGCCACTGGGATTACAGGCATGTGCCACCATGCATGGCTTTCACTGATTTTTTTTAGTATGGTTTTATTATAGATATGGCTTATACAGCTGATATTTTTTTAACCTAATCTGCCTATATAGTTATAGTGGGTATATTTGGTTTTTACGTTTTCTGTGTCAGTATTTTTTTAATATATTTTGTTGTTAATATTTTGCTAAACTTGTTTTCTGCTTTTTACTATGTTGATTGTTCTTTTCTATAAAATCTTAGTAATATTGCTTTTGATACCAGGTCCTAGTACTGTAACTTTTTTTTAAAAAAATATTATTTTTTAGAAGTAGTTGAACACAATACCTTTATTTTATTTATTTATTTTTTATATGTGGTGCTGAGGATTGAACCCAGGGCCTCGCATGTGCTGGAGTAGCGTTCTCCGCTGAGCCACAACCCCAGCCCAGTACTGTGACTTTGATATTAGTAAGATTAGTGTTAATCTTAAATGTTTAATAGCATTATTTCAATTTCTCTATTACCAGAATAAAGAGGGACATAATTTAAATGACTTCTATTTAAAATGGAGGTTTTCTTGAATTCTTTTTCTCCTTCTATCTAAACATCAAGTTGTTGGTAAGATGACTAGAATTATCATCATTAAATCACTTCTTTCAAAAAATTTTTTTTTGTCATTGCGTTTTAGTGTGTAACCAAACAGGTAATTATTTATATTTGTCTCTATTTAAATTTTTTTTTTCATCATTTACCAGCAGTTCTGTGTAGCCATTTCCCAGGCCCAGGTAGAAGGGTGCCCTGGGCCACTACAGTCAGCAGAGCCATAGAAGTTTGAGGCCCTCCTGCCTGCAGTCCCCTTCATACTCCCGTGGGTATGTGTGATTTCCCTTCCCCTCAGGACGGAGAGATTGCCACTTTAGCCCACCTGTCCTTTTTTGTGTGGCATTTGAGTTGGGGTAGGGTGTGAGGGACGATGGAGCTTGGAGAAGGCCATGGCCTGCCCCGTTAAGCAAGGAACCTTTATCCCTAGTGACCTTATGACTGCTTGTGGCCAAACCAAATTCCTAATGTCTTCAGGTGACACAAAGCTCTGTGGCCTCATTCTTGGCACCATTTACCATTTACTTCTTCATTCAGCATCATGCCTGTGAGATCTCTAAGCTGGTATTGCTGGCCTTACTGTTCCAGTCAGGGTGACGTCCATCCTGCTAGTCATGGCACTCATGGGTTTGTCCACATTCTTTCTATGGCACAGCCTTCTGATGTGCACCAGCAGTAGGTGCATGGACATCTTTGTCAGCTTGCCCACTGTTTGGGATCTTTGCTAGATCTTTTCATATTCCTTAACCCAACTTGGATGGGTGCTTGTTCTTTTTTTTCTATAATGCCCAAACTGACAAGTCCTGTGAAGGCTCTGAGACTATCCTGCATGGGAGCTGATAGCCTGCCAGGTTTGTGGATGTTGGCTGGAGATTTGAGATTTCTGCGTCAGAGACAGAGGGCTTTATCATGCACAGCACAGTAAGGGCAAAAATTTCCTGAGGAGGTTCCTCTTACCCTGAGCCCCACAGCTAGGTAGAGGCTGCCTGCCCCACTGTGGGCGTGGGTCACAGCTGAGGAGACCCAGGCTTGGGGAGCCCACAGCATTCATTATGGGCTGCAAGCAAGCCTGTCTGACCTGTGATTGGAGGTCACGTCTATTGTCCTGGACAGTAAACAGGTCTGTCCTCTGCTTCAGAGGCCACAGTCCAGATGGAAGGCTGAGTGCTATTATACTCATCCTAAGAAGGCAGTCCAGAATAAGACTGTCTCTGCCTCTGTCAGGTGTCGAGAAATGGCAGAGACTGAGGAGAGGTGCCTCCTGACTGAGGGGTGTGTTTGAAGAAAACAAGTGGAATTGCTTACAAATATTTCTTACCTGACAGCCAGAGAAGTTTGTAAGTCTTATTGTGATTGGCTTCCCAAAATTTATTATCATGACGCTTATACTTATGTTATTATAATTTTTTAACATAATTGTAATTTTTAAAACTTATTTATTTGTTTTATTAGTTATACATGACAGTACAATGACTTTGATATATCATACATTTGAATCAGATGGGATATAATTTCTCATTTTCCTGAGTGTACAGGTTGCAGAATCATATTGGTCATGCAGTCACCTATATACACACAGTAATAATAATGTCTGTTTCATTCTACTATCTTTCCTATTCCCCCATCCCCTCCCCTCCCCTCCCATCACTTCTCTCTACCTAATTTTATGATTTTTTGAATATTAAGTTTCAGACAGGTCGTAGGAGCCCTACTGTATTATAATCCAACAATATTAAACTGTTTAGCTCAGATATCCTGACTCTTAAAACCCATGAGTTACATGTTTTGGGAACCCTGCGCTGGTTATCTCACATATTTCTGGGGACAGGCTGGAGGCAGAAAAGGTAGCTGGGAGGGCATGACACACACTGCCAAAGTCCTCCTCTCTCCTTACCTGTTTTGTGTATAGGCACCAGAATGTTTAATGTGTATCGACTGTTGATTAGAAGAGAGGGTGGGAGGAAAAGAAGGTGAAATCACCATTGAAAGGTGATGGTGTGTTTTGGTGTATGAAGTTGTGAAGTGGAGATTTAAAAGCTTCTCCAGTAAAGAAATGCTGTGGCTGGCCATTATGTTTGGCTGTAGCAGTTTATGACTTTTTCAGTTTCTTCTCAGGTGAACAATAGCTGCTTGGTGTTAGAGCTCATGTATTAAAATGCAGACCTGGTTGGTCCTGGCTCTCCAGCCTTCCTTAATGTGTGCGCTTCATGGGAGCTGGTGTTCACAACCCATGTAGTGTTTCAAGTCTGCCAAGGCCAACCATGTGTCAAGGCTATGATACTGTTGAGGGGTTGGCAAGAGAAAGCCACTCGCCTCAGGTTCTCACGCAGGCCTTGGACTAAGTCTCCATGGCTTTAAGACATTTCCTCTCTATATTGAATTTGTGTAACTAGGGTGCTGTGATTTAAGTGCATCCCATTTCTGCTATTGAGATAATAGAAAAGAATATTTAGGACAAAATTGAAATGAATGTATGTTTTAGGTCTTTATTTAACTTATAATATGGAGTGAAGGATGACATGATTTATTTAGAAACACATATATACTTATAATTTTGTTGTGTTAGATGTTATAGGTATAAAACAATAATATACATCTTTAAGTTTAGGTACAGAAACAATTATTTGGTGACTTTGCAGGAGTATAAAGAAGTTTCTGTGTTTGTCTTGTTTTCAAGTTTAAAAGTCTGGCCTCTGGTTTGGTCCCTAGGTCAGAATTTATTTTACATTTGAAAAATGTACGTAATGATTATTATATTCCAGCCTTGTGAATTAACACAAATTCTATCAAATATGAGAAGGGAAGTATGTGCAGTTGCCATAGTACCCTTGGAGTTTGTGGTGTTGGATTGCAGCAAGTAGTTCTGCAGCTGCACGCTAGAGGGCTCCGGAGGCCACGAGCTGCTGTGTGGGTTCTTGCAATGGGAGTTGGTGCACCATGCTCCCACCAAGCTGTGTTCCGCAGACTGGCCCTCTGCTGCAACAACTGCCTTGGAGCCCCTTGACTAGAATCATAGGCAGAAATTCATAAATTATTTTCTTTGTGAAAAGTGTTAGGAAAGTAATTATTCAAAATGGTTCCATAAAGTGTTTTCATAATTTTTTTTGTAGTTTACTCCAAGCTTGATAGTATTTACTATAATTTTGAAAACTCAGTCTATTCATTATAAACTAAGCATTTTATACATTTTATATTTTTTTAATAAATAAAAATTTAAATAAATTTAGATGTAATAAACATTATGTAAATTAACAAGGTAAATTTCATAAATATATAAATCTAATAAAAGTATTTCCTTCCTCCCAAAGGATTATATAGGCTTTTATGTGGACTGAAGCCTAATTGTTCATGAAATGAAATAAAATATTAAAATCATCTCTCTCACACATTTTCAGGGAATACGAGCCCGCATCTTGGAAACTCTGGTCATGCTGCTGCTGCTGGCATTGCTGATTCTTGGGATAGTGTGGGTGGCTTCAGCACTGATTGACAACGATGCTGCAAGCATGGAATCTTTATATGGTGCGGATTTACTTGTATTAATCAGTTTCTATAATGGAGACCATAGTTTGGGATATAATTACATATGACTTTAATAACATTTTAAATAATTCTTTGTATAGTTCACCCTTGGTGTTGATTTACAGAATTAAGAATGCTTTATATGTGTCTAAGAAATGAATGTATGTTTGTTTTATGAGTAAGAAGCCTTTTATTTTTAATTAATTGGTTTCTGTTCTTAAAATTTTAGAGAGGCTCTTTTTTTTTTCCTTCCTCCAAACAGGTTTTGCAAAAGGGTTATTTTCTATCCTTCTATTTTATATTTTTTTATCCATACAATTTAGAAATTATATGGTTTAGTACACTCAAATAAGCAATTACAATGTTTATTATACTTTAAATATAGTCAGCCTATATTAAGATAAAACATCTCAATGTGCAGTATTTTGAACTTATTAAAGTTATTTACATTTTTTATAGACCTCTGGGAGTTCTACCTACCCTATTTATATTCCTGTATATCATTGATGGGATGTTTGTTACTTCTCTGTAAGTATTTTTCTGACCTGATATTGATAGGAGAGTAGTTGTTTGTATTCTGGGAAATTATCAGAAAGCTTCCTGGTGAGATTCCTTAACAATTTGGAGAATTTTTAATTATTCAAAATAAATTCGATAAACTGAAATCTTGAAATAATAATATGCTTTTTTTATTCTCTGAGGAAAGCCTTTCTGCTGGGTTGGAAAAAGAGAGAGGGAGGAACACCCCCCGACACACATTCTTATACTCTGTCTTGCTCGCTTCCTGTTCACATGTCCAGTACCCCACCCCAACCCATTCAGAGCACCAGAGTCTATTTTTAAATGGAAATGGTAGGTTAATATGTGATGAATTTGTGATTTTTATTTCAAAACTTGTTTTGTTTTACTTGAGGCATCACATCCTATCTTAGGGATTAGTTGTTAAATGTATTTCAAAGGACTTAAGACTATAGTTGTCACTATTAAATATTCTTTTCAGGTTCTCACTTCTACCAGCACATGAAATTTAATCTGTTCTTTGCTTGGTTTTATACAATTTATTTTAAACAAAAATACTTATTGTCATCTCACTGTTAGAATCTTAAGTGTCCTGAACCTTCTCTCGCCTTAACTACCTTTCATCAGATGTCACGCTGCCCGCCCCTCACACTGCTCCTCTAGCCTCTTCATGGATGAAATGCAAGAACCTTCTGACAGAGAACTGGGAGAATCTGTTGGAGTCAAGAATTTACTTAAAACAATGCTGTTTGAGTTGTTTTAGTTTTCTGTGCTTTATCTTTCTGAGCTCTAAAGTATATATCTCTCTGTTGGTGGTCTTCTCATTTCTGCAGTATGTACACCAGTTGGCCTTTCCCGCATGTTCACAGTAATGGGCCAGTTGCTAGTGAAGCCAGCAGTAAGTATTCTATTATAAATTATTTGGCTTATTAATTAAATATGTTTACATTTGAACTTCTTTTAGATTGTGAATTAGCCTTTAGAAATAGAGTATTTTTGTAGGTTTATCACTTAAATTTTACATTTTTTAAAATCTTTTTTTATGTTTAGAAACCATATTTGTTTTTGCTTTAAAAGTATTAATTATAGGCACTTTGGTAAAAATTTGGCTAGGCAATTTTAAGAGAAAATTTTGCAGATATTTACAGATATTCATTGCTTTATATCAAACAATTCTATTGTTTGAAAATTAACTGCATGTTTTGATTTACAAAGCAGAATGCTTTTGAAAATTTGCACATTATATATTATAATTGAATTATACTTTGCTTATTCTTTTATTTATTTCTTTTTGGTGGTACTGGGGATTCAGTCCAGAGGCACTCTACCACTGAACTACATTCCCCAGAGCTTTTTATTTTGAGAGAGCATATCTCCAAGTTGCTGAGGCTGGCATCTAACCTGTGTTCCTCCTGCCTCAACCTCCCATGATGCAGGGATTGCCCAGCTCTCTATATTCATTGAAAAATGATTTTCAATAGCAGAAAGATCAGTAGAGTACAGAGAAGGGAGCAGGAGGAGGGAGGAGGGGAGGGAAAGGAGAAGTACTGGGGATTGAATTAGAACAAATTATATTCCATGCTTTTATAATTATGTCAAAATGAACCCTAATGCTATTTATAATTAAAAAGAACCAATAAAAAATTGGAAAAAAATAAAATATTGACTCAAAAGACAATAAATAAATGTCTTAAGGCCCTTAAAAATGATTTTGAATTGATAGTAATTCTGATGACCTATTCTTAAGTTTCTTCTATCTTTAACTATTTTGTCAGATATTTAATAATGAGAAAATAGTTTCTTGGCTGTAATTAGGAATTTGCCACTTAAGTTATTTTCACTGGATCGTCATTGCTGACAGATTCAACTCTAACCCCTTCATGCTCTTGGGTTTTCCTAGCCCATTTTGATTGACCTCTCCTACCCTTCTGCAGTCTTTCTCTAGCTCCCACACGGCTCTGTGCCGCTCCCCTCCAGTCATGCCTTTGTCCCTCTTACCTACTCCAGCATCAGCCTCAGGCTCTGCCTGGTTCTGAACCTCATGTTTCTGCTCCAGGCTGAGAATCAAACTCTTTCCTCTGCACTTTTCACGTTCACCTTCTTAACTGACTAATACTACGTTATTTTAGTTATGGGTTTGTCACCCCTATCACTGTGATTCATTAAAGGAAAACCCTGAGGAAATGTTGTAGTAGATAATCATTTAGTAAATGCTTATTTAATTTTGAAAATTATAATCTCATCATTATCTTCTTTTAAAAATAAAGTCTAACTTTATATTTGCTCCATAAATGTATGCACACCCACAGCACACATGCTGTCAAATCTTAGAGAGGCTTTGTGACACTGCATTCCTATAGTTTCTCCCTGCTTCCTATAGAAAGAGGCCTAAGGTCCTCTGGTGTTCTGAAGTTCTGCTAATGCTCTTCTGGATGCTCTGGACCACCCCTGCCACTCTGACCTCACCTCTAAATGTCTGATTCTAATGAGAAGACATTGGAAATAGCCTTTAGCACCTCAAATGCTATCTAGTACCTCATGGAGCTGCAAGCTCAGCATGTAGAACCAAACTCCTTATTTCTCTCCCCTCCTCAGGCTAATTTTTCTCCCAAACCCGTCTCTTATTAATGACCTCCTCAAAGCCATATTTATATTTGCCTCTTTCTTACTCCTAACACATAATAACAGTGGTTGGTTATACAACCTATAGTGATAAGCACTGTATCGGACACAAAATTTCGTTGCCTCCTGATGATTAAACCATGAGTTAGGTGGTATTATAAATGAGAAACCCATGAGTTAGGTGGTGTTATTTTATGGCTGAACTAGCTTCAGTTCAGGGAGATGGCATGTCCTAGGTCACAGAACTGTGATGGAGTAGGTTTGAACCCAGAGGCTGGCTTCAGAGTCCATTTTGGAGCACTGTTCTGTTCCTCCTTGAGCTCCAGAGTAACATTGCTGCTTTCCTGCAGAGTGGACCTCTCCTTCTCTGTGTTTCTTGTATGGTTTCCTTTGTTGAAAGGCCTATCTTCCTCTTGTCAGTTCAGGTCACTGGGTGATGTGCTCCAGCCATCAGCCACACTGGCCAAGACTTTCGTCTCCCTAACTGGCAGTAATCTTTCTTTCTCCAACCTTTCAGAACATTTTATTTAAGCCTCGCTTTTGACATTGATTTTAATCCTATAATTACTTTTTGAATTCATTTGACCTCTTCTACCATTTGAGGTCAAAGACTATGTCTGACCCATATTTAAGCCCTCATTAGTACATAGTAGAGCAAAGGCTTTGAAGGCAGAGAGCATTTCTTGGGAAGCCAGTGTTTTTTTGGAGTATAAAATGGTGATGGTGGGAGTGTTTTTATGGTATTGTAGAAATCAAGGGTATGATGCTCATGGGCACTTGACATATGAACCTCTGTCCTGCTAATGCTGTCACTCATTCAGCACCTGTGATGGTACGTAACATTCAGTAATTTGCAAGTAAAACAAGCAGAAGTGGTCAGTTCTAATCGAAACAGTGGAAAGTGATGAAACGCTTTGATGGGAGAGAGCCTTCCTGTCAGGATCCATACAGGTATACCCCTGTCCACTTGTGTAGGCACCTCTGATTTGTTATCCAACTGGTTCTGTCAGAGGGCCACTCTGTTGCTCCCTTAGGACCATCACACCTTCTGGCATGTGCCACTTGTCTCAGGTTAAGTATTGTCTCCCTGGATAGGCCTCACTGTTGGTTATCTGGAGAAGACTTCCTCCTCTTCTTCCCATTCCTTATCCCTCATAGGACAGTCATTCATTGTCATTATTTATTTATTTGTCATTAATTCATCCTAATTATTTATTTGTTGCCCCCTTCAGGTTTAGGCTTCCTGGGGGAAGAAATGGTATGTCCACCCACTGATTAGCTTAGTTCTAGGACCTTAAGTACTTATTGAAAGACTGGGGATTTTTGGATTGCTTTACATAAATATAACATAAACTATTAAAATTCCAGGTGTGATAGGGATTGAGTGATTTAGGAATATCATATTAGGCAGCTGAAAGGGCACACAGTTTCCACTATTGCACTTTGTTCACCAACCCCTCATGATCGAGTAAGTAGTTTTGAGTTTGAATGATAGAGAACATTGATACCAGCTCTGGGTTTCTTTCATGTTTTCCCCTTTCATAGAAGGATGGTTATGTTAGCAAAGGCAGAACTGGAAGCATTAGGTTTTATCAGTTTTTAAGACAGTGCAGGTAATATGCCATACAATCAGTAATTGACGAGTGAGGTTCTTTTCTTACTATTGTATGGCTTCATAGTGAGTGGCTTATATGTAAAAACACCCATTTCTCTAGGGTTCTGTCTGTTGGATGATTTGTTTTGGTCTCAACCTATATTTTTAAAAGATTATAAGGATCAGTATATTTCTATATATGCACTTATTGGCAATGGTCATGTCCAAATGAGAGGATAAAAAATATTGACTTTATTTTTTTATATTTTTTCTACATTTTTTTGGTATATTATAGTTGTACGTAATGGTGGGATTTGTTACATATTCATACTTGCGATGTACACAATATAAAAATATAATTTGCTAATATTATTCCCAATACTAAGTCAGATGATTTTGATATCATCAGTATTCAATATTCATGGAGTGTTTTTAATGTATAGACATGACATAAATGGAAGGTTCTGCATGTTACTGTTGTAGTTTATAGACTCCTTGAACTAGAAATTCTGTCAGTAAATATAAATGGGAGGACAAATGTTGGACTAGATGATCATTCCTTCCGGCTCTAAAATAACAGCTTCGGCATGAAGATACATTTGCTATATTTAGCTTTTTGACTCTTTAAAATTCATACATTTGTTTGCCATTGAGAAAACTGCAGATGTTTTTAGTTTAAACTTTAACAATATCCAATTTATATGAATGTAGATTTTGTGAGAATAAAGTTTTGATGTGTTTATTTATACACTAAATTGTAGAAAATAAATACAGTGTCTATAAAACATGCTTAATTTATAAATAAAATAGTTTGGACATTTTATTTTGGGTTCTTAGTTATTTGAGTGAATATATTATCTGAAATAATAGACCAAGTAGCTTAAATAGTCAATAAACAAGAACTTTGTAATGTTATATAATTGAATAGTTTTGTCTTTAAATTTAGATTCTTGAAGACCTGGATGAGCAAATTTATATTATTACCCTAGAAGAAGAAGCACTCCAGAGACGGCTAAATGGTACATGTATATTACATATTTAGACCAGTGTAATAACTGTTTAATTAAAAAATAACAGATAATTAAAGGAAAGAAATACAAACCTCTTATAGGCTTAAGAGTAACAAAGGGACTTCCAGGTGAAGGGGAGTTGATGTAGATACATTGTGATGAGCACAGCTGGCCTCTAGAGAAAGTGGCCACTGGGGGGCCAGCAGCCTTCTACCACCACCTCTTGAGGTGATTTGCAATGCAGAGGTGGTTTGGTCTGTATGCAGCGTTAGTGACTGTAATGTCCCTACTTCATTTCCATTCTGCTGAGATCTTTAAGATAAAGAGTAGCATATTTCTTGGATACAAAGGTGCCAAACGTGACTCTTAAAGTTTTACTTGTGAACTCTGTTGTCTTGAGGAATACTATTGGCTATCAGTTGGTAACTATGTAGGCACATTAAAGATTCTAAAATTTCATTTCAAATTATGTATTGTTTTTGGTTTCCAGTGAAGAAAAGTGTAATGGTAGTTTAACAGAGAAATGACATAGTTTAGGTAAATATCTTTTAATTTTACCTGAGTGATTTTTCACCCTGTACTTTCCTCTTATGTAGCATGTTTTTAAAAAGTTGAAAAGCCACCCTTTCTCCACCAAGATCAGATTAATATCTAATTATGTTTCAGAATCATAATTTAAGAGTAGGTATAGAACGGAAAGTTATTTTTACAATGAAATATTGAGAAATAAGAAATATATCTAGGGGCTGTGGCTGTGTCTCAGTGGTGGAGCACTTGCCTGGCCTGTGTGAGGCACTGGGTTTAATTCTCAGCACCACATATGAAATATATCTAAATATGGTAGAGAGATTAGTGAATCAAAAAATAAAATAAATCTTGCTGGAAAGTTGAACTGTCTCTGTCAGTGTTCAACAGTTTCTCAGTCCTCGAAAATGTATGTGATAAGCTCAGTTTGAAGACTCCTTGATGATTCAGTTTGGATTATATGTTTTGTTTTATTTATTACTAGCATTATGTTAGGATTATTTATGTTTTCCTCTTAAAATGTGCTCTTTTTAAAAAACAATTAGGCATCCCACACAAGACTCTCTAGATATAAATTGGAGCTTTTCTGTGGTTCTTGTTAAAAGGCAAAGATTATTTAAATTCGTTTTTATGTATTTCCAATAACTTGTCCTTTGAAATAATTTCATCAGCTTTCTTTACTTGAATCTTCATTCAGACTGTCCAGTTTCTATTACTAAATTAAAACCTTAGAGTGTGTATACACACACACACACACACAAACACACACACACACACACATTTTCTTCAACTACAAATAGGAAAATTAATTCATCAACTTAAGTTATTTATTTGGTACAGATAAATTGTGTCAAAGACTAGAACTCCATGTGTCTTTTATTTTTCTAACTGGATTAAAGTTATTTTAAAATTTAAACTTACTTAATTTCAGAATTACAAACTTAAGTCAACAGCATCAGCTTTATAAAAGTTTATAAAATTTTATTAAAGTGAATATTGAAATAAATTTGTCTTCTTTACATGATCATGCTATTATGTAGTAAACAAGCCTCAGTCACTTATTTTGATGTGGCTTCATTTTATATTATGGTTAGCTTTCTAGCAAGATGTCAGACTACCTCCTGCAGTATATAGACATGTTTCAGCCTGTGGTGTGTGTTATTTCTGTCTTTAGATAAGAAAGGGTAAAACATAGTATTCCATGAATGAAAGAATTTGAGTTAAGTCTTATCAAGACAAAAAATAAAAATGAAGCCTATTCTCACTTTCCTATAGCGTGGTAGGGAAGGGTTCCTTCAGAATCCTCAATCCTTTGACTCCTCAACTCAAAAGTGGTTCACTATATCCAAAGAAATTAAAGGGAAAACACTGGCTAGAAAGCTAACCATAATATAAAATGCAGCCGCATCAAAGTAAGAGAGAGATCCCAGTAGCATGGAGAAGGTAGAGGGGATGGTCTGGGGGTAGAGAGGGTAATAGAGGTCAGGACAGTGAGTGCTTTGGCTAGCCAGGCATCATTTGTGATAGTTCAGGCTAGTAGGGCGTCTTTAAAAATCTTTTTGACAAAGCTCTTTGATGATGTGCTAGAAGGTTATGATTTTGCTTTTTACTGCTGGTTAGCCACTGTGGACTATTTCAGGTGGGAGATAATAGGCTAAATGGTTATTACTGATTATTATACATAAATGGTTCTGTGGCAAAATTGATGTTTTGACTAACAGGGATTAAGAATTGCAAGATTCATAATCTTCCAAGGCTGGGGCTGTAACTCAGAGGCAGAGCGTTTGCCTAGCATATATGAGGCACTGGGTTCGATCCTTGGTACCACATAAAAATAAACAAAATAAAAGCTTCTGTCCATCTACAACTACAAAAAAATTAAAAAGAAAAAAAAAAAGAATTCCAAGATTCTGGGGCTGGGGATATAGGTCAACTGGTAGAGCACTTGTCTCACATGCACAAGGCCCTGGGTTCGAGATTCCCAGCACCACACACACACACATACACACACACACACACACAAAACAACTGCAAGATTATGTAGAATATATTGATCAATATGTATAGAGAAAAAAGCAAGAACAGATTTTGATAATTTGCTATTTTTAAAGAAAGTACAGAGATAGGTTGGTAGGATAAACCATCCTCATGTATTTTATTTGACCTAGTATCATTTCAGAAATATTTTGTTGTAAGTTACTTTATATTTTAAATTCTAAAATAGAAGTCTCTATTTTTTATTGCCATTGAAGATAATTGTAGAATAATGAAAGTAAAAAGACTTTAAAATACAAAGTATGAGTGCTGATGTATCACAGAATTTGTCAGTGGCATACTGAGAGGGATGGTACGTGTGATGCACATCATAGGACTCTCTGGGACATCTGTGCGGTTCCTTCAGTTCAGTTTTACAGTTACTTGAAAAAATTATGACACTTAAACAATATCAAGGGAGTAATAGGAATCCTGCTACTATTTTTTTTTAAGGTAGTAAGACTTGAGTAGCAGTTCTTGTGTTATTGGAGTTGAATTTTCATGCCTCATTTAAAAAATATCAGTATAGCTGTAAGATGGAATGCTTAGCTATGTCTTAACTATGTTTTCTCCAGTGTTCTTAATATATTGTTCTTAATATATTAATGTATAGAGAAAAAAGCAAGAATAGATTTTCATAACATGGAGGGTGCTATAGGTTCAAAGCTTTGTTTAAGAGGCTTTGTTCCTGTTAATATTGTCATTTCCATAAAGAGTGTCAATAAAGCAAAGTCGTGCACTATTGCGGTGTTTATCAGTATACTAAAGAAGCCATCCTGTTACCACTCTCTACTGCCTCCTCCTTTTTGTTTACTGCATATCTTTTAAGGGTCAAATGTAGTGCCGATGAATTAAGACTCCAAGTCTCAAGATCATAGACCAGTTGACTGAAGAAGGAAGAAAAGGGATAAGAACATATAAAGAGTTATTCAGGTGCATCAACACTTAAGAAAAAGATGTGGGGGAGTAGTTCTGTGTGTTCGTGAGCAGGAAGGTAACACAAAGCCTCACTCCTTTGGCTCTACAGCTGTACCCGTTTGGCTAAGATAGCCCCTGCCTTGTGTCCCCATCAGCATGGAGGGGGTGAAGAGATGTCTGTAGAACTTCTGTGATCTGGAAAGACTCCCACCCTCTCTGTCCCTCAGCACACATCTCCCCTCCTTTCCGCCTTGAGACTCAGGGCTGATGGGCATGTTTTTCTCGATGCCCTTCTATCACAGGTGGTCCGTATCAAGAGCCCAGAACATAGAGCAGAATTCTTGCCTTCAGGACTGTTGCTCCTGTGTCTCGGGACATCATGTTTCTGATCTGATGTTCCACTTTCCCCTGGCACCTGAAGCTTTCTGCTTGTGCCGTTGGACACTGAGTGTTAACCTGTTAATGAAATCCTGGATCCTCAACCTTCTTCTTCCTCAGAGAAATATGGCTCTCCCCAGCACCATCAATCTCCCTGACCACTTTGTGAGTTGGCTCTCTTCTTTCCCAAAACTCTCCCTTAACTCCTGGGGTTTGGTATGTGCCCTTTTGTCTTCCTTGCTGCTTTCCAAACCTTGGAATCTCATGCTCTCAGACTGTGACCTGTTTCTGTCACCCCCTTTCCTTCCAGGCCATTTCTGCCCTCTTTGGACTTTTTAGCTCCATATTCCCGAGCATGGATTCCATGCATGTCGTGTCCATGGTGATTTTGGTGTCCTGTTCATGACATTTACAGCACTCTGGGAAATGCCTTGCCCTCTCTTTTGTGAAGCTTTGTCTGCCTTTGACATGACTTGGTCCTGGCCTTCAGCAGTAACTCAAGTTCTCACATTTCCTACATTCAGGAATCGTGCTACCACCTGCTATTCCAGCTCACTTCCTCTGGTACTCTGTTTCCTATAGTTCTTCAGTGTGGAAACCCAACATGCCACTTCCCCTAACAGCTTTTCCTTACCCTTCCCCCACCATTTCCTTTAAATGGAAAATGCCCAGGACGGAGAGTATCATTTTACCATAGAAGTGAAGAAGGTGGGGGAAGTAAAATTTGGTGAGAGGGTAAAAAACAAAATCTCCTGGAGAATATTAGGAAGGCCCAGAGTAGGACTGCAACAGACACACCAAGGTTGAGGGGGCAGGAGAACCATGTGCGCTATAACAGAAATAAGGTGGTTTCCCTCTTGTATCCATGGAACATGAGCAATCAAGAACCATTTCTACTCCATGACCCCTGAGCAGGAGCTCAACAGCAAGTCCCATTACAGTAATTGTAGTAGAAAATCTTCTGTAATTCCTTCCCAGTGTTAAGAGGATACATATATCATTAACATGTTTAAATGTTTAGGTAATGCAACAGCATTAATTGAAATAATTAGCTTTCGTGTGTGTATAGCCTATGGGTGTACTGGGTAACTTTAGAAGTGCCATAATGAATAGAAATTATTTTTTGTTGTTTAAGTTCAAAACCTCCACAATCC